TGAATTTCGGTACATCTCTCACATGGATCGTGGCCCTGGCCAGCGCTGCCGACGGCCCACCGACGCCCAATGCCGGAACACCCATCACGAGGATCGTGGCCCTCTGGTCCACTTGGGGGCGTTGCCGAGGGCCCACCGACGCGATTTCCGCACACCCCTCGCAAGGATCGCGACCTTCGCCTCATTTGAAGCCCGCCGTTGTTCTGACAAGCCGGGACTATTGGTCCCAGTTCGTGTATTGTTCTATTGGACAAGGAGGAGGGGGAGGAAAGGGAGGAGGAGGGAGGAGGAGGAAGGGGAGGAGAGAAACGAAATCAGCAGGAGGAAGGGGAGGAGGGGGAGGAGGAGGAAGAGGAGGAGGATGAGGAGGAGGAAGAGGAGGAAGAAGAGGAGGGGGACGGGGAGGAGGAGGAGGAGGAGGACGAGGAGGAAGAGAAGGAGGAGGACGAGGAGGAAAAAGAGGAGGGGGAAAGCGAGCAGGAAAAGAGGAACGCTATTTTTTCGTCTTTCGCAATGGGTTTCCGATACTCACCTTCGTGTTCGATTGACCCCATGGCCCTTGTACTATTTCTTACGAGCGAAGGGCGAAATTGTGGGTTTCCGATTTTTCGTGTACTATTCAAATAAAGGGGCTTCCGAACGTCATCTCCGTGTATCATTGGCTCTATAGCACCTGTATTGTTCTCTCATTAGCGAATCGCGAAATTGTGGGTTTCCGAACGTCTTCTCTGTGTACTTAAAAAAATCCTACTAGTGTGTGTAATTATTATTGATTCTAGTTGAATTTATCAACACGAACCCGAACCCGATCCCGAATCCGAGCCCTTACCCTTACCCATTCTTTCTTAGTAGACACGAAGGTAACATTTGACCCTAGTAGTAGTAGTAGTAGTAGTAGTAGTAGTAGTAGTAGTAGTAGTAGTAGTAGTAGTAGTAGTAGTAGTAGTAGTAGTAGTAGTAGTAGTAGTAGTAGTAGTAGTAGTAGTAGTAGTAGTAGTAGTAGTAGTAGTAGTAGTAGTAGTAGTAGTAGTAGTAGTAGTAGTAGTAGTAGTAGTAGTAGTAGTAGTAGTAGTAGTAGTAGTAGTAAGTAGTAGTAGTAGGAGTAGGAGTAGGAGTAGTAGGAGTAGGAGTCAAGCTAGCCAGCTCGAGCGAGTCAAGCATGGCATGCCCAGTCCCACCCGCCCTCCCACAACATAAGAAGCAAAGCTGGCACAACTGGGGGCCGAAGTCACACCGGCCAGCCGGTTTGGTACAGCTGATGCGGCCGCGATGGCGGTTGCCGACGGGAACTGGCGAGCGCGTGTTGAATGCCGCGCACGCATTGCCAGACGAGTCGAGAATGGCCCGGTACACCGCAGGAAGCCAGAGGTGGCCGGAGGAAGCCCGACGGTCTGACAGGACACCCCAAAGCATTTTTGTGAAAAAGCATTTGGTTTTTGATGTTTTTATGTTGAAATGCTTGCAAACACACGGTGTTCGGTAGGATTCTGACATGAACGCGCGAGTGTGCTCTTTGTGGTATTTTTTGCACAGGATTCGCGGCCTGGGTGCATGACAGAGCATCGCGAGTGCACCGCGCGATGACGTGATATCGCTGGATTTGACCGAATTCTTAAGATTCCGATGGTTTTCCTATGATTTCAGCAAGAGATCCCGGGTGGGAAATTTGTACAATTTTTTGCGAAAAAAAAAAACATTGGATTTTTGGTGTTTTTATGTTGAAATGCTTGCAAACCCACGGTGTTCGGTAGGATTCTGACATGAACGCGCGCGTGTGCTCTTTGTGGTATTTTTTGCAATGGATTATCGCCGTGGACGACAGGACGTCCATGTCGAGAGGAAAAAATAAGAAAAATGTTAATGTTGTATTGTTTTTTACAGGTTAGGATGGGACCACCCGGATGCGGCCCCTATCTGCCGGCCTGAGTGGGGAGTAGGAGTATATTCTAATAAGGAATAAGGATCGGAGTCGGAGTAGGAGTAGGAGTAGTAGTCGTACTAGTATTAGAAGTAGAAGTAGTAGTAGTCGTCGTAGTCAAAGTCGTAGTAGTGGTGGTAGTAGTAGTAGTAGTAGTAGTAGTAGTAGTAGTATCACGAGTGTTAGTAGTAGTAGTAGTAGTAGTAGTAGTAGTAGTAGTAGTAGTAGTAATAGTAGTAGTAGTAGTAGTAGTAGTAGAAGTAGTAGTAGTAGTAGTAGTAATAGTGGTAGTAGTAGTGGTAATAGTACTATTAGAAGTAATAATACTAGTACTCGTACTAGAGTCAGTAGTAGTAGTTGTTGTAGTAGTCGTAGTAGTAGTATTAGTAGTAGTAGTAGTAGTAGTAG